CAACCAGATGCTCGATCTCCCGCTCCTCCCCGATCAGCCAGCAGCTTTGCGTTCGCAGCTGCCACGCCCAACGCTGTGGCCACGCTCACCCGAGCTTGAACAGCACATGGCAACTCCTCACCGCCTGCACCCGCCTTCGCCGCATCTGGTTGCCGCGGATGACCTGCGCCCCACTTCTCCGACGTCGCTTCCTCTGCAACAATACACCAGCCTCCTCAATTTCGCACATCCACATCAACCACTCCACACCCAAACAAACATCTGCCCACACGCGCACCTCGCCAACCACGACCGCACACAACGACGACCCCACTCTACCTCCATGCGACGGGCCCTCCCCGTTGCACTGCACTTCATCCCTGAGCCCCTCCACCACACTGTAACACCACACCGCACCGCACAATTATTACTCGCCCCTCCAAACCAAACCTCGCCAAAACACCTCTCACAAACGCACCCTCTTCCCAACACCACCGCCTCCGCCATCACAATTACTGCCCCCACACCCTTCCCTCCATCCCAAACATACATCTCGCCCCTCACATCCATCTTCAACCTCCTTCCCGGTTCCCACAACCCTCACAACTACCTTCCACCATACTTTTGCGTTGATTGTGATGCATGCTTTTTGTGACCTGAAACCACCTTCGACCTTCGCATAAACGGCACCTCCCACACCCCTGGCTCGTCCTCCGCAATTGCTGCCACGGCTGCCTGTGCTGCAGCCGATGCAACCCGTGGCCCCACCGCCCCTGCAAGCAATGCCACCTGCTTCCACACCCAATCCCTCACCCCTTTTAGTACCCCTGTGCCTACACCCCACCACCACTTGCGACACTCAAAAACGCCCCAAACTTCGCCACACCGCCTCAAAAACCGCTCGAAAATACCGAAACTGAAACCTCTCATTCCTCACTCCAGTGTTCCCGACCTGCTCACACCACCATCGACGCCTTGCTTCTACGACCTACACACGACCATCCGACTCCTTACATCCCTATCGGTTCCCACCCACCCGAGTCATTTCCTTCACCAATCGAACACAGCCTACCTGCCACTCACCCACATTCTACAACACATGAACCACCACCTGACGAATCACAAGTCGCCGTCCACCTACTTCGGTCCTCGTCGCCTTTCTCTTCCCTCCCTCACCCTCCTCTCACCCTACCCGCACCCTCCTCTGTACCCCCTCTAAAGACGATCAGCATGCGCCGCACCTCCTGGAACGTCACCGCCTGCTTCAGGTTCTCCCTGCATCTGTTGATTGTGAAATCCCTGCACTCCTTGTACATTCTCGGTGTTTTCGCCGCTGATCTCTTGTCGAAAAACTCGCTCATCGCTCGCCTCTCCAATGGGTGAACCTTGTCCCACCGAAACCAACCTGCTCGCACACCACATCGTCAAACGTCACGCACCTCAAAAACCCCCCACAAATACACCGCATCACCCATGCACCACGACTATCCAACAATGCCACATCACGCCTTCCACGAGTGTGCGACTCCATCGCTACACGCTTCCGGCCATCGACGGGACGCGCCAACTTCCACCCACCCAACTGCCATACTGCCATGGATCGTCTCGGCAGCCACAGCACAAATCACTGTAATCCCAACTGTCCGCGAATTCGGCATAAACCCTACGCACCGCACCTCCCACACAAACATCCTCACCTCCTAACCTTCCTCTGCGCCGGTGCTGCCCCCGACCTACAGATACCTACCCCAACCCTCACATGCCCAGCGCTTTCCTGCTGCCAAGAACACCACCGGAAACAGGAAGTCGTCCCCAGTCACACGCACCTGCATAGCTCGGTATCCTGTACACCACCTCGCCGGGCGCCTCAGGTCGGGACGCACCCTCTGCTGTTGCTGCGGGTGCAGCTGACGGATCCACGGAACCTGGGTTGCCCTCGCCACCGATGCTACCAGCGACTCCTTGCGGACCCCTCTCCGCATTACCTCCCAACGTGCCATTGTTCCTATCCTCTCCTTTCCCCGCAGTAATTTGGACCCTGGCGTCGCCCGCGACCCCGGCCGCTCCATTCTTCCCAGCTTTCCTGCTCTTCCTGCTCGGAGTTTCGATTGCAGCGTCCTTCTCCTCCCTCTCCCGCCGCACTTTCGACGACTCCGTTGGCACGCTCGCGGGGTTCACCATGGCTCTGCCACCTCGCCACCACCCTCACACCCTCCCCTCTCCCATACGCACCATCCTCTAACCTGCCAAGGCACCACCCATAGCTCCCGCTCGAACCCCTGGCCACAATTCCGCACCGCCCTCCTGCCCCTCGCCCGAAAGAGACGCGAATGCCACTCACATTCCTGCCATACCACCGCAACACCACTCACCCTCGCCCCTCCATCGAAGCCTCCCAATTCCGCTGCCAGCACCCCGAGCCTCCACTTCAACGTCCCCACCGAGCCCGCGCTCTCCCATCTCCCCTGCCATTAGGGTTCTCCCCTGCACTCTCTTCCCAGCATAACTCGGCGCCACTGGAGTGCGCTCTCGCCCAAACCAGCGAACCTCCCAAGCGCACGATCACCGAGTTGTCGCTCTCCTCTCCACAACTCTCCGTGCCCAATTCTCGACCTCTCAGCCATGCCACAGCCTCGCCTCCGGCAGCAGAGGGCAGAGCCCCGGGGCAGCGGTGGGAAGCAGTGGCGCGGCATTGCAAGTGCTCGATTGCGCGACAAGGCGAGGCGAGAGATGGAGGCAGCGTGGGTGGGGGGGGGAGCTGACGAGTATGGGCTGAGTTGGTTAGAATCATGCGGAGGTGGCGGAAGAGCCATCCAGGCCCAGGGGGGCAGGGAAGACGGCGCTGTGCCCCTTGTAAAGGTCTCGACCCTTACGTCCCACTTCTCTCAGCGGCCCCTAGTCACTTTCCTGCACAGGTTAGTACTAGCTCACTTTCGATTAGCAAGTACACTAAGTCACCTGAGAGCACTCGTGGAGTACTCACTTGACGCGCCCACAAGGCCTAGCACCATTAGCAACTACGCTAGTATGTTGGTGCGGCTTTCCCACAGCCTTATAACCCAGGTGTGCTCTGAGATGTACTTCTGTTAACTCACCGCGTCGCGCCCTGACTTCGTCGTATCGCGACCCTCTTTGCACCCGAACTCCCTGGGTGCGGGACACCCTACCAACTACTAAGTCTCCTTGCCTTAGTAGCACACCCAACCGGGTTCATCTCGTTCTCGCAAGCAAGGCACAGTATCACCTAGTCTTTTGCCTTCTCAGTTCCTTCACATACCCACCAGGAGCCTTGGGATGCCAGTCCCGCTCATGCCTACCTGTTTTATTATTTTCTTTTTTAATTTTAAGTTATCTACCATGATATTAAATAAATAAATAAATAAAACACATTTATAAGAACTAAAACATAATTGCAATTTACCATGAGTTCAATTCATTCACCAAAAATTTAATTAATGAGACCAACACCTCTCATTAGAAATTTTAAGATTTAATACAGAAGCTAAGAAAACCACAAACAATACATAAAATTTACTCATTAACAAATTGGTTTTGGGTGGTTGACATCAAGTTTTATTGCTAAAGAAATTTCTAATTCTACTTTCAATGGATATTGAACTAAATTAAAATCATATCACTAATAATATTATAAACCATTGTATATTGGATTTTTTTTTAAAAAAAAAAAATTTAGAATAAAACAAATAGATATTTCATAAGAGCTATATATATATATATATATATATATATATATATAAGTCTATATTATATTTTCTTTATCATCTTTTACTTTTCTAAATTATAGACTTGTTCTTACAAATTGTATTGTAAGCTAAAACAACCATATCATTGACACTACTATATTATGTATTCTAATGTATTTGTAGATTGTTTAAATTAGGATTTTTTATTATTATTTTGATAATTTTATAATTCTAAAATATTATTTTTTATAATTTTTGTAATATCTATAAAGAAATAAAACTTAAGATACATACAAATATTTAACTATATTTTCTCAAAAACTTTAAATTATTTGGTTTTTATTATAATTTATAATATGTTGATTTTTTTCTTATTTGATATTTATTATTTCAAAAAATTCATCAATATAGGGCTTTGACCAAATCAATATTATTTTGATGTAAACAAAGACATCAAATTACATAAAACTCATGGAACTATATCATAGTAAAAAGTAATAAATCATCAAATAAATGCCAAATAAAAACTTGTAGCAAAATAAATATGATGACTAAAGTATAAATAAAATCAATTAATTAAGAAGCTCTATGCACTTATATTGTATATTTACAATCCTATTACAATATGTTTTTTTCATGAAAATTCTAATTTTTTTTTTTCATAATGGTAATCTTTCAATGCCAATCATAACTTCTATTATATGTTTCAAATCCTTCTATAAAATGTTATTTAATAATACTTATAATTTCTATCACAAGTTTGTGATTCTTCTTTAGTCTATTTTACTATGATACTTATAACTTCTATTATATACTTGTATCTATTCTACTATCATATGTTATTGCATAATTTCTTCTTTTTTTGCAATAAAGCTCAAAAACAAAACAAAACAAAAGCATAAAAAATTGTTATTAAAATAATACTTTTATATATAATTTGAGGTGATCTAAAGCTCCATCAACTAACCAAATTATTTAAAACTCTTTTTTATTAAAAAAAAAGTAATTTTATAAACTTTCATTTTAAAATTATGTTATAAATATGAATATAATGCACAAAAATTTATCCATCTAAACACAAGATTGTTGAATATTTATTTACAATTTACAATTGTACAATAAAACATTCACATTCAATTGTTATAACAAAAAAACCATGTCTAGAATACATTCTAATTCTAAATATTTATAAAAATATTTATCAAAATAAATAAAAAAATACTATGACAAATAATATCAAAATGTTACAAAAAAAAAAAAAAAAAAAAAAAAAAAAACTATCTTAAATATGTATTAATTGAACTTGTATTGTTGTTATAGAAATTCAGTGTGATTGCAAATGACATATAGAAGATTGCATAGTAAAAGGTTCATTCTAACTTTTGCTTAAATCAACTAAAGGCAAAGGGTTGTGGTGTAGGAATAGAAATGCTTCAATATCAAGAGCGATAATAATGTGATAAATGCTCCTACAAATTTTGCCATCTAAAAACAACCTTTGGATTTTGCATTGCTTAATTTTACTTATTTGATGCTACCCATGTCATTACTAAGCCAAATTGTGTTGCTTTGTTAAATTGAGAAACTTACTCATTGATTGTTACAACAACATTGATTCAACATGCTAGTGCTTTATACAATATAAGTCATTGAATTTGTATTTGACTCCATTTTGCAAGTCATGCTAAATCACAATTTGTTGACTTTGTACACTTTGTGTCCTAGACAACAACCTCATCAATGTTGTCTATAATAAAATATACTTCAAAATTCTTATGAAATAAGTTTGTTTGAAAGAACACAATTAAGCCAAAAGAACCTAGACTTTGAGGTTTTCAAAACATGCTATGACTAATACAATGTTGTACACACACTAGAGCTTGAGCATTCTCGTGTCTAGCATTGATATTTGTTATGTTATGAGAGATGGAAATGTGAGTGGAATCCATCAAGTTCTCCAAAAAAATGGAATAATTGTAAGGCGGTTCATGAATAGTAGAGAGGTAATAAAAGCCCTCCTTTTTGTAGTGCTCATATTAGGGCACCTTCTTGAGATCAATTATTGCTCTATCACCTAGCCACATCCATATCATTCCTTGTGATACCTTTATTTTATACTTTTTGGTACATATTTACTTTGGAATTTTAACTTTAGGAGCCAATTATCTCAAATAAATAAATAAATAAATAACTAATATCTAAAAAAATAAACTAAAATAAATATCAATTCTATAATATAATCTACAAAATATCTTCATGTTAATTTAAGATGTATGTATTAAAGTGCCTCATCATTAGCACCAATATGCTACTTTTAATATGCATATTAGAACATAAATGTAACTAAGTCATTGCATCTTAAACCACCAAAATATCATCATAAATTGTGATATAAATAATAATAATTTAACAATTGAATTTTTTCAAGTCTTAAGGGTATAAATTCCAAACAAATAAAAAACTTAATATATTCTTGTATCATTCAAAAAGAATAGATATTTATTCAAATTTGATATGATATTGAAACTAAAATGGCTATTGCTAAAGACAAGAAGATTAGAAAGTCTTGAAACAAGACTAAAGATTAAAAAAGCATTGACAAGAGTAAACAAGGCTTTACTCTTGCTACATGTTTAACTTACAAGACACGTGTCTTAACTTGCAAGACAAGTTTTTTGTATGTGCGCTACATAGTTAGCTTGTATCACAAGCAATCAACACATGCAACAAGTGGCTAATTTGTTGGCCAAGTTTCTAACCTAGCAATCAACTACAAACACATGTAAAATCAAAGCTACATCTATGAAGCTTCTAGGAGGCTTTTCTATAAGATATTATCAAATTTATTTATTTTAATCTATTTCTACCTATTCATATTATTAGAATAATTATTGGAATAAATACGTATGTCTCTTGTCGTGTGATAATATGACAATATGGTAAAAATATAAAAATATGGATGTTATTATAGAAGAGCCTAGTAGAAAAATATAATAGAAAAATAATAATAAATGATAGGAGGATAATAAAAACTTTAATCTTAATGTTGTTTTTTTATAGAAGATACTTTTATTTATTTTGTATGAGCATAAATGAGCCAAATCAAAAATAAATAAATAAATAATTGATATAAGTATTTTTAGGAGAGAATTAAAAATAGATTTTAGTAAAAATTACTTAAAAATATTAAGAATTGATACTTGGAGAGTATTAATTGTGAACCAGGATCAAAATCAGATCCTAAGGCACAAAATCCTATACCTATGGTGAGTTCAAGGTTTTTTAGTTAATAAGAGAGCAAGATTTGAAAAAAAACTTATAAGATGATTTTTAAGAATTAATTTCATGTAATTTGAAGATATATTGAGGTTTTGAGAGCTTTTCAAAATAAAAGATGTAATCAGTGGATTTGGATTTTAGAAAATAAAATGAAGTTTATAAATTTAAAGATTGTGTAAATATCGTAGCATATTTATGGATGAAATTTTTTTGATTTGTCATTGTGCTTGTTTTAAATGTGTGTGAAATTTTTTATATCAATCAAGTGGTTAGATTGAAGGTTGTAAAATTTTTTTGTGGATTATAATCTGAGATAATTGAAATTCAAGGTCAGTGAGGATTTTTGTGAACTTGAAACATTTGCTAGTTAAATTGAAGCAAAAATTGGTGAAAGCCATTAAGACTTGAAAATATACATACCAATAAAATTTGAAGCAATTTTATAGTTCATCAAAGAGACATTGCTATTAGAAGTTCAATATTTAAGTTGGAAAAGAAGAGCGTCTAATATTCAAGAGGATTTGAGAACTTTACTTTTAATCAATAAGTTTGATTCTTTTCAAATTTTGTGTGCTTGTTTATTATGTGTGGATTGAAATTGGAGTGAAATTTTAGTCAATATCAATAAGTCAATCAATATTTATTGAAGTTTTAAAATAATTATAATAATTGATTAATATTTAATTAAGATTTTTTTGAGGTTGTTTAAGATTTGATTAGGATTTAGAATTTAGTTAGGATTTGATAAGGATCCAATTAGGATTTTATTAGGATTTTATTAGGATTTGGTCTAAGATTTAATTAGAATTTAATTAGAATTTTATTAGGATTTTATTAGGATTTGGTCTAAAATTTAATTAAAATTTAGTTAGGATTTTGTTAGGATTTTTTTAAAGATTTTTAGAGTTTCATTAAGATCTTATTAGGACTATATTAAGATTTGGTTAGGATTTAGTTAGGATTTACTTAAGATTTATTTAGAGTTTTTATTTTTAATATATTTTTTAAGATTATTATTATTTCTTTAAGGATTTTATTTTTATATTTCTTTAAGATTTTATTATTTTTTTTTGAGA